GCCAACCTCTTTGCATACCTATTAAGCATAGAATCCCAACTCCCCACTAACCTGGAAGAAACCCCTTGGGGCAATCCCAAATAAGGGATAGGAAAGGAACTCACCTTGCACCCAAGAACTGCAGCTAAAGAAGAAATGTCCTGTACATTCCCGACCGGGACAAGTACACTTTTGGCCACATTCACCTTTAACCCGGAAACTGCTTGAAAGCAAGCCAGAATGCATCTCAAATATCTAAGTTGAGACACATCTGCATCACAGAAAACCAGAGTGTCATATGCAAATAGTAGATGTGAAATCTCCACTTGATTGACAATATCACTTCCCACCCGAAATCCCTTAATGAGACCAAGATTCTCTGCCCGGCGCATGAGTCTAGTTAAGCCCTCCATAACAATAAGAAAAAGAAAAGATGACAATGGGTCACCTTGTCTTATACCCTGAGAGCACCCGAAAAAACCAGCTGGAGAACTATTCACAAGAATTGAGAACTTGACAGACGAAAGACATGTCTCAATCCACGTCCTCCATCTACTTCCAAACCCCATTCTTTTAAGCAAGTAGAGAAGGAAATTCCAATTAACATGATCACAAGCTTTCTCAATATCAAGTTTGCATACAACTTCGGGAACACCACTACGCAACCTTGAATCCACACATTTGCCAGCAATAAGAACTGAATCAAGAATTTACTGTCCTCCAACAAAGGCATTCTGGGAATTTGAAATAATCCCATCCATAACTTCTCTCATTCTATGAGCAAGCACCTTAGCTATAAGTTTGTAAATACAACCCATTAAGCTAATAGGACAAAAGTCCTTAATATCTGAAGCGTTTCCCTTCTTAGGGATAAGGGCAATAAATGATGCATTAAGCGATTTTTCAAAAACACCAGTAGAATGGAACTCCTGAAAGGTACTCATCATTTCATTTCTCACAACCGCCCAGCTTTCCAACAAAAAGCGCATAGTGAACCCGTCTGGCCCCGGGGCTTTATCCCCATTACAACTGGATAAGGCCTTAAAAACTTCTTCTTCAGTAAAAGGAAGCTCTAACTCATCTCTCTTCAGCACAGAAATAGCCTCAAAAGGAAGACCATCAAGCTTAGGTCTCCAACCTAAAGGTTCTGTGTAAAGCTTCTGATAAAAAGAAATGATCCCGTTGTGCACCTCTTCCTCCCTCCACAACTCTACGCCTTCAACCCATAGACGTCCTATATGATTGCTCCTTCTATGAGCATTAGCAAGTCTGTGGAAAAATTTTGTATTACGATCTCCCTCTTTCAACCAAAGAGCCCGGGATTTTTGTCTCCACGAAATCTCCTCCATACAAGCAATCTCAGCAAGAATTGAGATTGAAAAAGCTTATGATCATGTTAATTGGAATTTCATGCTGTACTTACTTCAGAGAATGGGGTTTGGAAGTAGATGGCGGAAATGGATACAAACATGTCTTTCTTCCGTAAAGTTCTCGGTTCTCGTGAACGGGTCTCCTGCTGGTTGCTTCGGGTGTTCTCAGGATTTGAGACAAGGAGATCCCTTATCGTGTTTTCTTTTTCTCATCGTCATGGAGCGAGGGCTTGAGCAGACTTATGAGGAGGGCAGAGGATCTCGGTCTTATCAAGGGCTTTAGGGTGGGCAGCGATCTAGCTCATCAGATGAAGGTTTCTCATTTACTGTTCGCAGATGTGTCCTTGGTTTTTTATGATGTTGACGTGTCTCAACTTAGATATTTGAGGTGCATTCTGGTATGTTTTCAGCCGGTTTCTTGGCTAAAGGTCAACGTAGCCAAGAGCGTGCTTGTCCCGATTGGGGATGTTCAGGATATATCCTCCTTAGCCGCAATTCTTGGGTGCAGGGTGAGCTCTTTCCCTATCCCTTATTTGGGTTTGCCTTTGGGGGTCTCCTCTAAGAGGTTTGGGAGTTGGGATCCTGTGATTGATAGGTACGTGAAGAGATTGGCGGGGTGGAAGAAGCAATATCTGTTGCGGGGCGGGGGGGGAGTAACTCTCATAAAGAGCACTCTCTCAAACCTTCCTACTTATTTCTTATATGTGTTCTAAATTCCATGCTCTGTTGCCGAAAGGATTGAAAAAATCCAAAGGGATTTCCTCTGGGGCGGAAGGGGTGAGGAGTTTAAGTATCATCTCGTCAAGTGGGAGCAAGTTTGCAAGCCCATGCAGTCGGGTGGTCTAGGTATCCGGATTCTGGAGGTTGGTTCCCTTTAATCAAGCTTTTTTGGGCAAATGGTTATGGAGATTTGGAAGGGAAACGCATCGCCCTTGGAGAAGGATTGTTTCATGTCGTTTTTGGGAGGAGAGTGGCAGATGGTCTACTCGTCCAGCCTCTATCGCGGAAGGAGTTGGTGTGTGAAAATTTATTCGGAAGGGCTGGGATGTCTTCTCTTCCCATATCAGATTTAAAGTTCGTGATGGTAGATGTGTTCGATTTTGGGAGAATTTATGGTGTGGTGACCAGCCGTTATCTTGCACCTTTCCTAGTTTGTACAGTATTGCCGCCGATAGACATGCCTACGTAGCTAACTGTTATCGCCTATCGGCTTGATAGCAGTGGGATTACGTGGGACGTGCGTTTTAGACGTTCTTTTCAGGATTGGGAGATGGACAAGGTATATGTTCTCTTGGATATGTTGTATCAGCAGGAGGTAGTTGGCCGAGGTAGTGATGATCTTCTGTGGGTCCCCTCTACCCATGGTAGATTCGATGTACGGTCCATGTTTCTATGCCTCTCCAACTTCGTTGGCCTTGATTTTCCATCGAAGACCATATGGCGCTCTAAGGCTCCACCTAGAGTGACATTCTTTGTATGGATTGTCGTATGGGGCAAGATTTTGACGCTTGACAACTTAAGGAAGAGAGGCAACAATATTGTTAATTGGTGTTGCCTTTGCAAACGTGATGGCGAGTCTGTGGATCATATTCTCCTGCATTGCCTCGTGGCGTATGATTGTTGGAACCTTATATTTGGCTTATTTGGTATGCTTTGGGTAATGCCTCGATCTTCTAAGGGTCTGATTAACACGTGGAGGGGATGTCGCATGAGAAGCAACGTACGCGACTATTGGAGGATAGTTCCACATTGCGTTTGGTGGTTCATTTGGAAGGAGAGGAATAGCAGAGTGTTCGAAGGGAAGGAGTTGTCCACGGTGACGCTGAAACTCCATATTATTCGCTCTATCTTTAGTTATGTGAAGAGGAGTCCTTGCTCCTCTTCCGATGACTTAGTTAATCCTTTGGACTCTTTGGGTCCTTAGAACCCGGTTCCGCTTTTGTATAAGGGACGCGTTTTCCTTTTGAACGCTTTTTAATTGATTATTACTTATTAAAAAAAAAGAGGTTGTTCTTCATAAAGAATTTTCTTATCAAATATTTGATTATAATTAAGAATCAAGATACAAATATATTTTTCTTTCACTATTGTATAATCTTCTAATTCTTTTAGATGACTTGGTTGTTCTGCATGAAGAATTTTTTGTTATGTTTTGATTCTTAGTTGAATTTTCTTATAAATTTTTTTATTATGGAAAGTTTCACCAATTCCAAAGATGGTTATATATATTTAATAATTACAATATATATTCAATAATTACCACTGGTGTAACGTGGGATGAAAAAAGAGAGAGAGAGAAAAAAAAAGGTGAGATAAGAATAGAAATCTGTTGGATATATATATTCAATAATTAATATATATTTGGATGAAGAGAAGAGAAAGAGAAAAAAAAAAGTTGAGATGAGGATGGAAATCTTTTGAGCCCACTTTTAAATCTCTATTGGTTGGGGTCTAATAATAGAAGGAAATAAAAATTTTAGAAAGACAAAAAAATTTGTCCTTTTTATTGGCTGGGGTCTAATAATAGATGGAAATACAATTTTTTATTTTTATTCAATGTTATAATATAAGGAAATAAAAGAATTTGGGGCTTTCCTATTAGCTGGGTCTAATAATAGAATGAAATAATTTTTCTAGGAAAGTTATAATATAAGAAGATAAAATAATTTGGGGCCTTCCTATTAGCTGGGGTATAATAATAGAAGGAAATAAATTTTTTTTTGAAAAGTTATAATATGAGAAGATAAAAAAAATTGGGGCCTTCCTATTGGCTGGAGCCTTTAGGCAGGATGACATAGTCTTAATATATACTTCTAAGGAAGCTTTAACAATAAAATTAGAAATATGGACAAAATGGAGGCAAGCTAGTTGTATCCTTTGTGATAAATGAATGCCAAATAAATTGAAAGGAGAATTCTATAGAACGGTAATTAGGCCAACAATACTGTATGGGGCAGGGTGTTGGGAGTTGAAAAAGACACAAATGCAACACATTTATGTAGCAAAAGTGAGGATGATACATTGGATGATAGGAGTAACTAGAAGAGATAAGATAAATAATGAATGTGTGAGGGGAACACTAGGTATAATGTCTATAGATGATAAAATTAGGAAAAGTAGACATAGGTGGTATGGACATATTCAGTGTAGACCCAATGATGCACTTGTTAAAAGAGGAAGTGTTGTTTGCCTAGAAGGTAAACGACAAAGAGGCCGACTAAAGCTTGCTTGGGATGAAGTAATTAAAAATGATTTCAAAAATTAAATCTACAAGAAGACTTGGTGTATAATAGAAAAGAATGGAAAACAAGATTTCATGTAGCCGACCACATTCATATTGGATAAAGGCAAGAATGATGATGATGAAAAATTAAGTACAATTAGGTAGTTATGTCAGTCTCTCCCTCTCTCTCTCTGTCTGTGTCTCTGGTGCTGAACAAATCACTAGGCTGGATTAAGTTATGATATAAGAATCTTTTATGCGAGTTTAAATGTCTACATTTTTGGCGCTACACCTTATTAATTTTCCTCAAACTGTGACCCTGTACTCCTTGTAAGATTAGTGTTCAAGTATTTCTGCTAATAAATTTTTAAAGATTGTGCATCTCATTATCTATTTGAGCTGTTGAAATTGAGATTTTTTATGAACAGGATTCCTTCACTTACAATCCAAACAAATTCTTACCACTTCTGTAAGCTTTCACTGGTGAAGAAGCCTTCAACCTGTGTAAGACAAGCAGAACGTCCTAAGCGTTGCCATGATATTGAGGTTAGGGAATCTGCTGATGGGGAAATTCTGGATGACAACAAAGAAAATGCTGAAGTCAGTCTAATGAAAAATTCGAGCTCACATGAAGGTTTGTTCAAATGGTTAGAGAAGTGAACATTAAATGGTGAATGGTGTATTTATATTTATAAGTTCCCCATAGTGATGTTCAAAGATGGATATTCACCCTCTAGTTTTTAATTTAATTTTTTTAAAGAGCACTCAAGAAAGGAGTGTGCATCCAAAAGACTGATAAAAAGATCACACGTCAAATACTCTAATGACGAGATCCGACACAAATATACTCATCGAGCCCCTCCCCATCCACAACCTGACTGTATAACAAAGCCAAACAACTCTACTACATCCTCCAACTGCCAATCAAGAAGATACCGCTCAAACTGCACGTACCATGTCATACTCCGCTATCAAGACGATAACAATTGATGACCGAAATCTGTTTGTCCACTGCAATCCTGAAAAGCCTCAAGAAACTGTATGCTAGCGGCCTATCACGACACCAAAAGTTGATCCAAAACCAAATAAGTCTCCCATTCCTGACCCTGAATCAATATGCTTTGAAAACTCATTCCAAACCTTTCGAATAAAATTCCAAACTCCCACCCTTGCTTGAGACATCACCCTGAATCAAAATTCTATCTTTGCTTATGGAGTTTGGGTTGTTATAATGGCATCAAAATCTATTTAAACAGAGTCACGTTGTATAGGCTATGGAGTTGTAAGCTTCCCCCTGTTAAATTATCAACTTGTGCAGAAAACTTGTAATATTCTCTGTGTTACCTTGCCCTATCGTTCAATTCTAACTTTTAATAGTCATCGGAGAATAAGTAACAGTCTTGAAGCATGCTAACACTTGACTCTACTTCGAGTTGTGGCTCGTAGGCCAGTTGCATTAAGTTCATGCCCTTAATATGTGGTTCTTATGAGGTGCAGGCCTGATAATTGAGACTCATCTTACGAGATTTACATTTCATGAAAAAAATTATATACTTCCCTCTCTCTCTCTCTCTCACACACACACACGCACAAGAAGCAAAAAGAAAAGGAAAAAGAAAAAGAAAAGAAATAGGAAAAAGGAAAAAACAAAAAAATTGAAACTTAGTATGTTTAAACTATTGTTTGTTTTATCTCAAGCGTTAATTATTTTTTCAGGGTTCTATTTCACATTAAGCACCACTTCATTGGACATTTAGATCGCCTTGAACTATCAATGATGTGACTTTTGGTTGCCTTTTGGAATCAGACGTGGCAATATTTTTTGATAATAAAAGATGAGGGTATTACTGTGCCTTTTGTTTGAAAATTGGAATATATGGTGGGGTGATTTAAATTGACTGATCAATAGAAATGAACTCATAGGATCCTTGAAATCACGACTCTCAATTGATTTAGAATTTATGTATAATTAGTAAGCCTTATGCCAACTTGTTGGGGTAGTTATATGTATTTGTTTCACCAATCAATTGAACTATTTTAGCTGAACCATCAGACAGTTAGAATGGTTAAATTCAAACCTCGTCTTTATTATAACTGTTACTGAAACCAAACGGTTTGATATTTTTTATACAAGGTGGTGAAATACCTTTCATCGTCACCTGATGAAGATTCTCTTCATTGTTTGATACTCATATATGGTATCATTTACTTGAAAATATAGAATAGCATGTTTTCTTGGGGTTTTTTTCTTTCTCACTATTTTCTTATTTTTGTTACTAGTATTATAATATATGGGAACATTGTTTTTTATTATTTATGAATCTCTTTTTATTAGTTTAAGAGGTTTGCTTTTGGCTCTAGCCTTGAAGGTATGTATGAGATCTGAATATGGCTGCACTTATTCAATGTTGTCGTTAAATACTTGTATACTTTACAAGTAAAAATACAAAGTAGGTTTTTCTACTTTAGGGCTTCTCTTAGGTGAGCAGCAATTGGTCTAAATCATAGGATGTATGGTTCAGATTGACATCTTTACGATAAATTTTTAACCTGCTGTACCTTGCACCTTATTTTCTTACTTTTTCAACCCTGACATTTTTGGTACTTATTTTTATTTTAGGTTTCGGTTCATGTGGTGCAAAATTTTTGCCAATCCTTTTTATTGGTTTGGTTTTGGTTTTGGTTTTGATAGTTGTTCTAGTATACAATTTTTAAAGATCAATAAAGATGAGAATCAACATTTTCTTTCTAATATATCAGGTGATGAGCATACTGAAGGACCGAAATACGTGGCTGTAGCTGGGGAGCAGTCTTCTGAGGTTGATGAATAGCTTTTACTGATAGTACCATTTCTGTTAACATGTTCTGTAGTCTGTACTAATTGCTTGTGATACCACACTGCTGATTTTCAAAGGTTGAGATTTGGGATCTCAATACTGCAAAGAAATTGGCACAATTGCCTCAAAATTGCTCTGGTGGCTCCACAAATCATTCTACAAAGACTAGAGGTCTGTTTCTGATGTTCATGTCACTTTTTGACTTGTACTATAAACTCATTTTTATATCGTTTTATCTTTTTTCATATGATTAATTAGTTACAAAAAAGCACACCTCAAATTTACATGTTAGCATGCTGCTATAGATGTTTATGTGATGAAAGATTTAGAAACTGATGTGATGGATTGCGTGATAGTTAAAGTTGACTTGTGTGAAAGAGGAGGTGGAAGTGTAGAGATCACCATGGACTCTACAAAGCCATGAGCTTGTCTGAGTTGAATCTAATCTTAGAAGAAGTGATCCAATTCTAGAGGTTTGTTTGAAATCTAGAGTACTTGTCGAGCTTGAGGTTCAAGTGATCTAGAGGTGTAGGTGGCCTCAAGATTAAGGTAATCTAAAGCAGATCGTCAGGCAGATTGCTATTTTGGAGGAGATCTCATGGCGTCAGAATTCTCGGGCTTTATTGCTCAAAGAGGGTGATCGCAATACAAGTTTCTTTCATAGGATGGCTAATGCTCATTGGAGGGGTAATCACATTGGAAGGATTCGTGGTGATGGGGGTGGAGTTGTGCAGAGTAGAGGAGGTGTGCAGGGGGATTGCCTCGTACTATCAGAGATTGTAAACTTACAGGTGGAGACCCCAGCTTTGAGGTTTGCACTTCGATTCAATTTCTGTTATGGATAGAGATGGTTTGGAGCTTCCATTCACCGAAGAGGAAGTTTTGAAGGCGCTTAAAAGCTGTAATGGCGACAAAGCCTTGGCCCAGATGGCTTCACTATGAGATTCCTGTTGGAAAGTTGGGCTGTGGTCAGGGGTGAGGTGATGGGGACATTCCAAGAGTTCCATTCTTATGGGCGGATCTGTGAATGCATCTTTCATCGCTCTCATTCCCAAGAAGGGTGGGGCTTCTGACGTCAAGGATTTTAGACCTATTAGTTTGGTGGGGTGTATGTACAAACTTATAGCTAAAGTCCTTGCTTCGAGACTGAGGGATGTCTTGGATGGAGTTATCTCAGAATTCCATAATGCTTTAATTGGTTGTTGTCAGATTCTGGATTCTACTCTTGTTGCCAGTGACTGCGTGGACTCTAGATTGAGTAGTGGCATTCCAGGAGTTCTCTGTAAGCTTGATATTGAGAAGGCCTACGATCATGTTAGTTAAAATTTTTTGCTGTCTTTGTTAGAGAGGTTGGGCTTTGGGGAGAGATTGAGGAGGTGGATCGAGTTCTACATTTCGTCTATCAGGATATCGGTTTTGGTGAACGAGGCTTCGTCTGGCTTCTTTAGCGGTTCTCGAGGATTGAGACAGGGAGATCTTCTCTCCTTTTCTGTTCATCATTGTGATGGAGTCTTATTTATCATAAAAACAGAAAAAAGGAAAAAAAAATTGTGATGGAGGCTCTCAGCACGTTGATGAGGAGGGCCGTGGACTAGGGATTTATTAAGCGCTTTAGGGTCGGTAGAGATGAGGATCATCAGCTCGAGATCTCCCATCTATTCTTTGCGGATGATACTTTGGTGTTTTGTGATGCAGATGTTTCCTAGCTGAGATATCTGAGGTGTGTTTTGGTTTGCTTTCAAGATGTCTCTGGCCTAAAAGTGAATGCGGGGAAGCGCTCCTTAGTCCTGGTGGGGGGAGGTGCAGGACATTGCCAATCTTGCTACGGTACTAGGTTGTGGGGTTTTTCTTTCCCCATTACTTATTTGGGGTTGCCTTTGGGTTCACCGTCGAGAAGGGTAGGGGACTGGACCTGTGATTGAGAGTTTTGAGAAGAGGCTTGTCGGGTGGAAGAAGCAGTATCTCTTTAAGGGTGGGAAGGTCACCCTCACCTTGTCAAGTCTTCCTACATATTTCCTCTTTTTTTTTAGATTTTGGCCTTCGTGGTTGAAAGGATTGAGAACCTCGAGTGGAATTTCCTTTGGGGTGGATTGGGGGATGAGTTCAAGTATCACCTTGTTTAGTGGGAGCAGGTGTGCAGGCCTATTCAGTTTGGTGGCTTGGGTATTAGGAGGGTGATCTCTTTTAATAGGGCTCTGTTAGGGAAGTGGTTGTGGAGATTTGGAGGTGAGCGTCATCGATTACGGAGGAGGGTCATCTCATGCCGCTTTGGGGAGGATAGAGGTGGGTGGTGCTCCCGAGTGGTTAGATCTGCCGGTGGCGTTGCTTGGAAATTTATTTGAAAGGGTTTGGATGAATTTTCCAAACATATTAGATTTAAAGTTCGAGATGGCAGGGACACTCGGTTGTGGGAGGACTTATGGTGTGGCAAGCGTCCGTTGGCTTCTTTGTTTCCCAGGCTTTTCAGGATTGCCGTTGACATACATGCTTGGGTGGCCGACTGTTATTGTCTTGATAATGGGAGGATCACTTGGGATGTGCGTTTTTGGCGACAGTTTCATGATTGAGAATTAGACAATGTTTCGGACTTGCTGGATTTGTATAAACAGACGCTGGATGGGGGAGGCCCAAATTCCCTTATTTGGGTGCCCTCTCCCCAGGGGAGATTTGACGTCCGATCCTTTTTTTGCTGCCTTTGCCTTCTCAGGGACTGATTTTCCTTGGAAGACGATTTGGCGCTTGAAGGCTCCCCTAAAGGTGGCTTTTTTTTTGTTTGGACCGCATTTTGGGGCAAGATTTTGACTCTTGATAACCTCCGAAAGAGAAGATAGGTAACGGTCAAGTGGTGTTGCATGTTTAAAAGGGATGGAGAGTCAGTTGATCATTTTCTGTTGCATTACACTGTGGCTCACAACTGTTGTAGTCTGATTTTTGGTCTGTTTGGTATACAATGGGTTATGCCCCGGTCTTCGAGAGTTTGGCGGTTCAGCAAATGCTCTCAATTTCCACCTTTCTCGAGTTCTTACTTAGAAAGTGTGATGGGCCACCAGCCCATGCCCCAAACTTCTATCGAATGACACTTAGAAAGTTTGGCGAGTTAACAAATGCTCTCAATTTCCACCTTTCTCGAGTTCTTACTTAGAAAGTGTGATGGGCCACTATTTCGAGTCTTCAGTCTCTAGTTGGGACTTCCTGTAGAGAGGAGGTCCTCACGAGTCTTCAGATCATGGGCGTTAGACACAAAACCCTTGGGTATGTTATGAGTTCTACTCGTAGAGATGAAGTCCATATGACAAGGCTTTCTGTAGATAGGACGCCATTCCTAAGTTCGTTGTTGGTGGCAAGACTTATCCCGAGAAGAGGACGTTTTCTCACTAGAGATACCTAATTGGCACGCTGGGCCCTCAGAGATCAACAGGATTCATCAAGTTCTAGTTGAAGTGTTTTGATCAGATGAAATCCTTTTACCTACTTTTTTGGAGTAAAACTCGAGGTATTGCTAGCACAAGACCTTGGTGTCATAACACATGTTATTTAGGGTCCTGTACTCGAAATGTCATATACTTGAGTTTGCCAATATTCATCTACTAGATTTGATAGAGAGTTATATCAATTTTTGGATCTAGAAAATGTATTCTTCTAGGTTTTCTTTTATTATACCTTTATGACTACTGTTGGTTTCCTTGATGGAGTCGCCACAACCAACAAAGCTTGAAGAGTTGTGAATTTAGGAGGTGGCCAAGTTTTACATTTATAGAAAGCCACTACTACCTTTCTCTATATAAAATATAGATAGGGCGAGTAGGGATCGTCCCAAGGGATTTGATGGTGTATCGAATTGTGAAACTATGGTAATTAGGGTTAGTAGGTCGAGTGATCACACAATTGATTGGTTGGTTGATTAAGCTAAATTGAATTCAACTAAATAAAATAATATGAAGTAAACAAGAGAGAGAGAGAGGTCTTGGGGTGTAGAGATCACCACCCAGCAATACTTTTCTATACTACTAACAAGTGATCAATTGAGGGTAATGGATGTGTTGCAATATGATAAGGGTGTGTGTGCATTAGGTTGATTCAATTGGCAAGGATGACAAATCAAGCAAGTATTGTCTAATCATCATGTGAAGAGCACAATATATCTAAACAATAGAGCATATATTGTCTAGACAACATGGGGATAGCACAATAGATCAAAACAAGTCATTAATCCTTCATTAAGCTCACAATCCACATACAACACAATATTAGAGGAATATGCCATTTAGACTCACAAGCATGGAACATCAAACATCAAGAGTAGATTGTCCTCCCATCTAACATTACACTACCACTACACTAAATCTACACTACTAGCATGAAAATAAAGCTATCTAGACTAAGGGAGAGGCACAAACCATCATGAATAGGCATAAACCATCAAATGAACCAAAATAGCATTCATTAAGCATATTATCTTGATAATCTCTAGATCTATAGCATCAATACACATAGACATGCATAAAAAACACTAAATCTAGAGATAAGCACATGAATATCCTACTCTAGCATACATAGACATATGGATAGAATAGAATAGTCAATTGGAAGCATTAAACCATACAAACCATGAAATAATCAAGATTTATATATACATGAATATCAAGATGTATCATACAACACTAATCCCTCAATAGTACACAAGATTAGAGTATAAAAAGCATGCTTGGGGCTAACTCTAGCCCCAAGAGGATGTCTAGCCACTCATGGTAGTGATGATCCAACCCTCAAGGGCTAACTCCATGGCTGCTCCTTGTTGGTGAAGATCTCCTCCAATGGTGCTCTAGCTTCCTCCCTTCTTCCTCTCCAAGAATAGCCTTCAAGATGATTTTCAATGTGTGACAAGAGACTTTAGAGACTCTCTCAAAAAGTGTATCATATTCCTTATATAGGTAGGTCAAATACACCCCATGATGAGCTGTGGTCGTGCAAGGCATATTCTCCAATGATTGGATGAAGGACGGAATAAATGAGCTGGACAACTTTTTTTCGCTGGAGGAAGTTCGATCGATCGAACCTTAACTTGGATCGATCGAAAATGGGTTCGATCGATCGAACTTCCTCCAGCGAAAAAAAGTTGTCCAGCTCATTTATTCCGTCCTTCATCCAATCATTGGAGAATATGCCTTGCACGACCACAGCTCATCATGGGGTGTATTTGACCTACCTATATAAGGAATATGATACACTTTTTGAGAGAGTCTCTAAAGTCTCTTGTCACACATTGAAAATCCCTTAACTTGGATCGATCGAAAATGGGTTCGATCGATCGAACTGCATCTTGGATCGATCGAAGTGGTCTGACTCCTCCGGATAAGGACAAGGCTGGGATATTTTCAAGATATTTATGGGGAAAAAGACAAAAGTGGTCGGTAGGCGTACAGCTGTGGATAAGATCAATCATTTGAATAGGACAAAATAGGGTTCGATCGATCATAAATGATGTTCGATCGATCGAACTTGGAATTTCAGCAAAGGCCAAGGTTGGATCTATCGAGAAGTACTGTGATCGATCATAGATGTTCGATCGATCGAACTCTAAGTTGGATCGATCGAACTTTTCAGCTGCACAACTTTGATTCCTTTTTGCTCCTTTCTTTCTCCACTTTGCTCCCTCCTTTGGTTTATCTCAGGATTGCTTCAATTAAGCTCTTATTTGGCTGAATTAGCTCAATTTTGGGATTAGTGCCTGAAAATATAAATAACGCGTAATAAGTCTAAAACGGCAAAGTAAGATAGATAAAGGTACTAGAATGCTTAAGCTTAACGGGTTTAAATGCGCACTTTTCAGTGCTCATCAATGACTTAATGTATCATGCATAATGAGCCTACTTGCTGGGTTGCTGAAGAGCAAGACTGAATGCTGTAAAACTCTTTTTTAGCTTTTCCATTATATTATGTCTATATACTTGTTTCAAAAATTTTTTCCCCTGTATGAATCTATCAATATTAATAAAGCTTTTAAAGCAAAACTCAAGCTGTAAGTGCTAATAAGATTTACCTTGGATTACTTATTCTGGTTATTGAATTGCGTACATTTTTTGTTAAGCTATTCGGCTATTAGTTTAGCATAATTGACTATGACTTGCCGTTTGCATTGTTAGTGAGCAACTGTCCGCAGTGCACCTACAGACATACAAGAAACTCTATTATGGATGTCTCATAAATGCACTGGCAGCTTAAAAATATATTAGTTTTATATGCCATTTATTCTTCTTTTATCTACATAGATGCTCTCAGCAAATTTGTTGTTTTTTCCCCTTTTGCTAGTAATCTGGATTAATTTCTCAGTTTTCAACCCCCTCCCTCTCCTCTCTTTTTGATATATATTATTGTTTTCCAGCAGGGATGTGCATGGCTGTTCAAGCATTTTTATCATCAGAATCACAGGGGTTCCTGAATGTCTTGGCCGGGTTTGTTCTGTATTTAAACTGGGCTTCTGGGCATTCTCTATTTACACAGATATTACTCGATAATCAGTTTATAATTTCTGTTAAGAATTCCAAATATTATTTTAATATATCAAAATAAGCAGGTAAATTTGGTCTGTATTTGCATAATTAGTATTTATGTTGGTTCTATTTTTATTCTGATAATAATGATTTGCATGATGCACGAATCGGCATTTGGTAGCTTGGAATATCGTTTGACTTGTTTATCCGTGTTTTCTGCTGCCAAGTTGTAACTAACTTATTTTTGTTGCAAGTTTTTCTTTTCCCATTCTTATTTATGATTAGAAATTGTGAATGCGATGAAAGAAGAGAAAAGATCTTCTTCCTTTTTGGTAAGATAATAAAGAAAACCTTCATAAGAGCTCAATAATAATAAAAAAAGGGGCAAGAAGATGGGAAAAAAGAAAAAGAAAAAGCGAACTTCATGTTTTGATTTGTTCAAAGTTGGTGGAGCTAACACAAAAGTTAATGTTTAGTTAAATATTAATATTAGAGCCTGTTCCTGGTGAATATGTTTAAAATTTTGAGAAAAGTACATGGTGGCGCTTTTATGCATATAACCCTCACATGTGAATCTGAAAATGTTTGCACCTTTTGGATTGTGCATTGGCTCCAAAAGGTATGAAATTTAGCGCCGGATCATTTTGTGCTCCTATAACCAATCACATTGGTAACTTCTAGGCAATATCATGTTCACGAAACTCTTAAGTGCAGTTACCATGTGCTGCCTTTTATGGCATTTTGAAATCTGCACTGAACTTGGTGGTTGGATTTTTGTAATAATCAAACCAGCCATTTGTAAGAGATTGGTTAAAGACAGGCTCTTTACCATGATCTTTTGTTTTTGATAAGTAGCTAATTTGTATCTGGTCTTAGAATTGCTGTCCATCACTAAATCCCCGACACTAGACTTTCCTTGTTTGAAATAGAACAATTATCTGATTCTTTGTGTTCCATTAACTTATTCATAATTTTATCAGATGAAATTTTTGATTTTTAAATGTACGTTCTTCTTAATGTGACAGTTATGAGGATGGAACTATGGTTTGGTGGGATTTAAGGAATCCAGAGGTTCCTGTGACTTCTGTAAAGTTTCATTCAGAACCAGGTGCGTGAGTTCAGCATATGAAGTGCCATCTGCACATTAATTTTCTCAACTTATTTCTTCAAAATATGTGTGGGTGATTAACTGCATATTCTCTGTGCAGTTCTGAGCCTGTGTGTTGATGGGTCATGCAGTGGGGGTCTCTCTGGTGCTGCGGATCAAAAAGTCGTAATATTTAGTTTGGATCACTCAATGGTATCTCAAACTTGTTATTAAGGCCATTATACTAGATTAGTTATATTTAACTTGTCATGCCCGGCTACTGCACATTGGAGTTGGTCAACGTCAATTGTATCCTGAAGTTGAACTGTGTATTTATGGACATTTAGTGCATTCATATGTTTTTAAAACAAATCTCTTGTTACCAGTAAAATGTTGACACTATTGAAGATATATTGAATTTGAATAGTTAGCCCTGATATGGTGATACATCGAGTAACAGTATTAGAGGCAAGACGCTTAAAAAATTAGAGGCATGAGCCATAAAAATTAGTAAAACTAAGACAGAATAAATGGAGTGTAAATTTGAAAAAGTAGTAAACAATGATAATATAAATATTACAATTCAAGACCAAAGAGTTACTCAAAATCGCTTTTTCTGATACCTAGGATCAATAGTACAAAAAGATGGAGGGATGGACAGCGATGTAGTAAGTAGGATTGGAGTGGGGTGGACAAAATGTAGGCAAGCTAGTTGTGTCCATTATGACAAAAGAATACTAGATCCAACTCTATTATATGAAGCAGAGTGGTGGGTGTTGAAAAAGACGCAAGAACAACCAACGGGCCAGTGGCCCAGCGGTACCAAGCCCCTACTTCTCAAAGAGAGTTAGGGGTTCAAGCCTTAGTGGAGGCATGGGTGGGTGTGTGAGTACCAACTAAGAAAAAAAAAAAAAAAAAAAAAAAACAGACGCAAGAACAACGCATTCACGTAGTAAAAATGAGGATGCTAGGAGTAACTAGAAGAGATAGGATTATAAGGATTGTGTGAGGGGAACACTAGGTATAGCCCCTATAAATGATAAAATTAGAGAAAGTAGACTTAGGTGGCATGGTCACAACCAACGTAGACCCGATGATGCAGTGGTTAGAAGAGGAAGAGTTGTTTGCCTAGAAGGTAAACAACAAAGAGGCTAATTTGGAGGAGAAGTTCCCAGATGTGTCTCAGGTGGCCAATAGTGATCTCGGATCACATTCCTATTCTCCTTGATTGTGGAGGGGTGAGGAGAGGGAGATCGCCCTTTCGGTTTGAAAACATGTGGCTTCGGGTTGACGACTTCATAGACAGGATTGTGGGTTGATGGTCAGGCTATGTGTTTAGGGGCAGTCCGAGCTTCCAACTAGCCTCCAAGCTAAGGATGTTAAAAGGCGATATATAGTCTTGGAACAAAGATGTGTTTGGCAACCTTGAATGGCGCAAGAACAGACTACTTCTTGAAATTTCTTATTTGGATAGGAAGGAGGGTGAGGAGGGTCTTTGCTTACGGGAGGTTAGTAGAAGGGAGGTGTGTAAGGCTGAGTTTGGAGAGATTGTGGAGTTGGAGGAAATTTCTTGGAGACAGAAATCTAGAGCCCTTTGGCTTAAGGAAGGCGATCGTAACACGAAGTTTTTCCACCGGTTAGCTAACGCTCACAAAAGAGGAAACCACATTGGGAGAATTTGTTTTAATGGGGTTATGGTTACCGGGTAAGAAGATATCCGAAATGGACTGCGTCTTGGAGGCCCTTGCTAGATGGGCTTGAGTTCGCAGCTATCTCGGACGACGACAATGCTTGGCTTGAGAGGCCGTTTGGGAAGGAGGAGGTGTTGGAGACTTTGAGGAGCTGCGACGGTGATAAATCCCTAGGGCCGGACAGGTTTACCTCAGCTTTTCTGCACCATAACTGGGAGATTGTGAAGGATGAGGTGATGGGTACAATCAGCTTTTTCTTTTTGCATGGCACATTTGAGAAGAGCCTTAATGCTTCATTTATTACCCTTGCCCCCAAAAAGGGTGGTGCCATTGAGGCAAATGACTTTAGTCCTATCAGCTTGGTTGGGGCTGTTTATAAGATTATTGCGAAACTCTTAGCCACTCGTATGAGGAGAGTTCTTAACGGGGTGGTCTCTGAATCACATAATGCTTTTGTGGGTGGGCGCCAGATTCTGGATTCTGTTTTGATTGCCAGCGAGTGCATTGAGGCCAGGGCGAGAAGCGGTGTTCCGGGGGTTGTGTGCAAACTGGATATAGAGAAGGCCTATGATCATGTTTGGTGGGATTTTTTGATGTACCTAATGAAGAGAATGGGCTTTGGTCATAGATGGAGGGGGTGGATTTTTTTTTGTGTTTCGATTGCTCGTTTCTCAATTCTCGTGAATGGCTCACCAGCGGTTTTTTTTCCTGCTCTCGAGGTTTACGTCAGGGGGACCCACTCTCCCCTTTTCTTTTCATTATTGTCATGGAGGCCTTTAGTAGATTGATGGGGAGGGCGGAGCTGCTCGGTTTCATTCAGGGATTCTCTGTGGGTAGAGCACCCAATCAGTTAGTCGTTTCCCACTTGTTGTTTGCGGATGACACTATTGTTTTTTGTGATGCTAGAGTTGACTAGCTGAGGTACTTGAGATGTGTTTTGGCTTATTTCCAAGTTGTCTCTGGCTTGAAAATCAACATTGGGAAATGTGAGATCATCTTGGTTGGGGTGGTAGAGGAGATTCAGTCTTTAGCAGATATCCTAGGTTGTGATGTTGGCGCTTTTCCAATCTCTTATTTGGGGCTCCCTTTGGGTACCTCGTCGAGGAGCATTGCTGTTTGGGATCCGATTGTGGAATGGTTTGAGAGGAGGTTGTTAGGTTGGAAGAAACAGTACTTGTCAAAAGGGGGGAGGGTTACGCTTATGAAAAGCACCCTTTCCAATCTCCCGACCTATTTTATGTCGCTCTTTCCGATGCCTATGATAGTTGTTAGAAGACTCGAAGAGATTGTGAGATATGAATTTTGTACTTGGCAATTTTTGATATCAAAACAAGTCCCGATCGAGTTGTAATTTCATATCAAGATCGACATCGATTGCGTAGTTGGAAGGTTGTTCGAAGATGGTAAACTAAGATCGTCGAGAAAGGAAAGAACAACATTTTTAGGACGTTGTTTTCCACTTAGGACACAATACCTACATGGTATGTTTTTCGAAGTTACCAAAAACAAAGTTTTCCAAGTTCTATTTGAAATCTGTCAAGTGGGAACTGGTACCAACATTTGGGAACCGGTTCAAGAACAAGAGATTCGAAGAACACCATTCTGTCCATTGGGAACCGGTTCCACATATTGGCTACCGGTACCACTGCTGATTCAGTTTAAGGTAATTTTGTCCTGTTCTGTTTCAAATATCTTAGTTGGTTTAGAATATTAACAAAAGTCCTATGCACGAAATTTCCTTTATTTTTTGAAGGATTAGGTTTTTGAAAATTCTATATAAACCCTGATATACATCTAGGTTTAGTACGGCTTTTGCAATACAACTTCATAAATCCTAAAAGCCTTATAAAGATTATTTTTGCAGAAAATCCAAGTTGATTTCTCTATCATTCTTTCTAGAACACACACATAAAAACAAGAGTGAGTTTAGAGTGTTGTTCAAATCCTGATCATGATCAAAGTCTTGCATCTACAACGATCAGAGAAAAGCAGATCTACTTCTACATCGAATTTAGATATCGAAGAATAGAAGTAAAAGCGATCACACTTTGAAATGGTCAAAGCATTCGAGGAGTATTTTTTGATCTACCTGCAACCCTTCTACAGAGATCAAGAGTAAGCCTGAGGTCAAGTGCTGTGGACGGGATGTTGCAAAGCCAGAGGATTGTCAGCTATTGGTGTTTGGTAGAACGATAGGGTGTGAGCCTGAGTCAAAGTTCAGTGTACTTTGTTTCAAACATAGTGGATCGGTCTACTTTGGATTGCACAGTCCACGAGGTTTTTCCCACGCAAACAATTGGTCTATTTTACCAATTGGGGTTTCTTCGCTAAAAATCCTGGTGTCATCTCTAACTCTATTACTTTGCTTATTTTATCTTGTATGTGATTAATTGATTAATTGCTAAAATAAGTAAAGTTAGAAAGACACAGATCTGTTTCTAAAAATTCAAAACTTTCTAAATATTCCGCTGCGTACAACTCACAGAGATTCAGAGGAAGTTTTTGTGGGGAGGTTTGGGTGATGAATTCAAATAGTTAATTGGGAGAGGGTGTGCACCCCCACAAAAAGGGGGGCTTGGGAATTCAAAGGCTGGATGTTTTGAATAAAGCGTTGTTAGGCAAGTGGTTGTGGAGGTTGGGGGCGAGAGGTCCAAGCTTTGGAGGCGAGTTATCTCCCGTCATCATGGAGAGGGCGATGGAGGGTGGCAGTCTAGGGAGACGAGATGGATGGTAGGTATGGTTTCTTGGAAGTTGATTCGATTCGAAGGGGCTGGGATAAGTTTTCAAAACACATTCGCTTCAGAGTTCGAAATGGAAGAAATGTCAGGTATTGGGAGATGGTGCGGGGGACTTAGCCTTGGCCCTCAGTTTCCCTCGGCTTTGCAGGATTGCTGTAAATAGGCACGCTGTGGTTGCTAACTATTATCAACTCGATAATGGGAGGGTGACTTGGGATGTGCAGTTTCGTAGACAGTTCAATGATTGGGAGATTATGGAGGTTACAAATTTCCTAGCCTTAATTTATTGCCAGGTGGTGACTGGGGTGGGTACGGATGAGATGGTGTGGGAGGGCAACTCCAGAGGGACTTTTGAGGTTAGGTCTTTCTATTCCTGTTTGATGGAGTCTGTTGGCCCCTCTTTCCCTTGGAAAGCTATCTGGAGGACGAAAGCTCCTTTGAAAGTGGCTTTCTTTTCGTGGACTGTTGCTTTGGGAAGCATCCTTACTATCGACAACCTTAGAAGGAGACGTCACATTGCGGTCAATTGGTGCTACATGTGTAAGAAGTCGGGTGAATCCGTGAACCACCTTCTCTTTCATTGTTCGGTAGCAAGGGATGTTTGGTCTATGTTTTTGGTGGCTTCTGGTCTTCCATGGGTGTTTCCATTTTCCACGGTGGACATGTTAGAGGCTTGGAAAGGGTGTATAGTGGAGAGCCGAGTTAGAGATGCTTGGAGAGCTACTCCCTTTTGTATTTGGTGGGATATGTGGCAGGAGAGGAATAGGAGATCCTTTGGGGGAAAGGAGTCTCCTATTTGATCTCGTAAATACAATATTCTGTCTTCCTTATTCTCTTCGGTCAATGGGCGGGATTGTAACTCTATGGATAGTTTTTTGGATTTTGTGGATAGTCTTAAGTCATAGTGCCGTCTTGGACGGCTTTTGTTTCCTTGGGAGCGCTCCCCTTTTGAGCGCCTTTTATGATATTGGTCTTACTTATCAAAAAAAAAAAAAAAAAAAAAAATTGAATAATCTAAAAAAAAATAAATCTAAGAGAAGCATGGTATATAATAGGAAAGAATGGAAAGGAGACTTCATGTGGTTTGCCCCATCCATAAGGGAAGAGGTGATGATGATACAACAGTATTGATTACTCCTATTTTGAATTTCTGTTGATTTTGACAAATTATGATGCCGGTTTTGGGTGATTCCACTTTTTTGTTTTCTTCCTTATTGGTCTTACTTGTCAAAAAAAAAAAAAAAGAATAATCTAAAAAGAATTAAATCTAAGAGAAAACATGGTATAGAATAGGAAAGAATGGAAAGGAGACTTCATGTGGCTGGCCCCACCCATATGGGAAGAGGATGATGATGATACAACAGTATTGATTATTCCTATTTTGAATTTCTGTTGATTTTGACAAATTATGATGCCGGTTTTGGGTGATTCCACTTTTTTGTTTTCTTCCTTCTTTATAAATACTGGCGCTAACATTTTAGTATTAGGAATCTCATCAAAGTATTCTATGAATTTGAGGCTGAAGCCAATCTGTTGCTATAAATGTTATGACTATATATTAAAAATAAAGAGAAAAAACTAATCTTTCCTTTTTTCACATTCACATCAAGATTTATAGGCTTCATGGTGCAATTACATAGACAGTTTTAAGGCCCTTTGAGCTAGGCTTTGAGTGACTTTCAAGTTGTGCCCCAAGAAAAAAAGCCATGACACTAATTGGATGACATTCATTACTATATGTTCATTCATACACCATCACAAGGATGTATAATATATCAATTTCCTTGCAGTGATGTTTGGTTTCAACATATGTACAATTATGCTATTCTGCTACTTATCAAGAAAAATGAAACTTTGCTGTTTTGCTGCTTCTTGTCTAGTATTTCAGGCTATATTTAGTCAACTTCAGATATGTCATATAATTGTTTGATGCAGGGTTCTTGTGTGGTCAAGAATGAAATTAATTTGGAACGACCTGGAATATCAGGGACGTCAATCCGACCAGATAGCAAAATTGCTGCCACTGCTGGCTGGGATCATCGGTTGGTATCTCATGTTTTGTGTTTGTTCTTTAATTTTTTTGGAGACTGCATATATAATTCTATAGCTAATTAATCAGGATAGGTCATCACAGTTTAAGTCACTTCAGCAGAAACATGGCAATAATTTTAGCTCATGCAAATTGGTTTTGTTTCGATACGAGTTGGTTTATAAGGGTGTTACAGAAAACCTCTCCAAGTGCAAGTTTAGTTATTTTATATCAATAACAATATCATCTTTAAGGAAAAAGGAAATGGGGAGGAGGGGAGCTAGACTAGAAATGGTGTATATATTTTTTTGTTGGGTGACTAAATGGTGTGTCAATTATGCATTATTGAATATTGAGAAGGAATTGTCCTCAATGATCTCCCAGTTGAATTCTTGATTTAAATTGTTCCCAGCTAATGTTCAAGTAGTTCTCAAAAGATGATATAGACTGCTGAGGATTTATAGATTTAGTAATTTTAATAAGCAAATTTTCAAAGTTTTTAGATGTACTATTTTGCCTATATCTATGAAACCCCATAAGTTCTCTGATTTTACCAATTTTAATAACCGAAGTCACAATGTTTTTCCATGTACTATTTTTCCTAGATCCATGAAACCCTTCAAAGGATTATCTCTAGGCTTGCACAAAGGATTTTCGAAAACCAAGAGCTTGTAGTTCAATGCTTTGAAACAAGGGAGGAGAAACCAACACGATCATTATGTTCTCTCTTTCTCTCCCTCTCTATGTCTGCAACGTGCACACGCGCGCACATACATGCATACTGCTTTAAAAGAATTGAGTAATAAGGACGGACCTTTTGATTGGTGAAATAGAACAATCCAGATTTTTTTAAAGTCTTCCTGTAGAATAAAAATCATTATGGATGATAGTTCTATTGGACACACTAGAGTAGAGTTGATATATCTTTCCCCAGACTCGAGTTTTCAAGCACAAATATGACGAAGTTCATTGAGTTGCATTGACTCGGATCAAGAATAACAATCATCATTATTCGTCAGGAAGACTGACCTTTTGATTGGTGAAATAGAACAATCCAGATTTATTTAAAGTCTTCCTGTAGAATAAAGTTCATTATGGATGATAGTTCTATTGGACACACTAGAGTAGAGTTGATGTATCTTTCCCCAGACTCGAGTTATCAAGCACAAATATGATGAAGTTCACGGAGTTGCATTGACTCGGAGCAAGAATAACAATCATCATTTTCGTGTTTTTGAGCATCATAAGGATCCAACTTTGTTAAATTTTAAGTGACATACTCTGGCTAGCCCAATGGATTCATCTCAAATGAAATTATGATTATTGAAATAAGATGTTTTAATATACTCGTGATTCTTGGAAACAGAAAACAGTGGGAATTCTCTCTTCTTATGGTATAAAGGAGTTTTGAGAAGGGAAATCTTTGAAAGACGTGTCAATTATCATGAGTGTAGATTGTATGTATTTGTGTATGAAACAAATGCATTCCAGAGGCTAGAGAGAGATAAAATTGAGGACTGAAAAGTCATTTAAAAGCTCAATCATGTAATGAAGATCATTGTATGCAGAGGCTAAGAGAGTATTGCTTTAAAGGCAAGGTTTAAAATATTGGTGGATTTGGGGTGAGTCGCGTAGTTGATCCTGTTATGGCCCAATACATCGTTGAGCATGAAAACTGCAAGTGACTTAAGGACTCTGGTGACTCGGAGGGACTCAACCGAGTAAACCCTTTTAAGCTGGTAAACTCGCTTCTACCAAATTTTTTTTTTTTCCTTCTCATTTTCTCTAGTCTCTCTACACCTAACAGGCCTTTCTCTACTCTAAAGAAAAAGATCTTGGCCTAGGTCATGGATCAAACCGCTCTGAAACTTTTCAACTAACTGGTAACTTACCACCACCACCCCCCCACAACCACACGCACACGCACACAAAAAAAAATAAAAATAAAAAAGAAAAAGAAAAATCTTAGATCTAAAATGAAAGTGTTGGTTGAACCTAGATCTATATGGTGGTGACAGGTATTTTCAAATTGAAACTTCCATCATAGGACATTTATATTTATTTCTTTTTTAACTGCATTTGGAATCATTAAATAAGTGAAAACTACAAATTAGTACTCCCTCTGTCCCAAATAGAAGTTTCCCTTTTAGGGAATCTAACTTTTTAGGATAATGTTTTTTAATTGTATTAGTGGTGAATGAATTATCAATTTTACCCCTAGTGGGTTCACAGTGAGTGATGTGATGGTTTATTAATTTTTTTTTGATAAGTGTGATGGTTTACTATTTATAGGTTTAATACAAAAAGTTAAATTGGTATTACTAGAAAAATAGTACATTGACTTTTCAAATGGGACACATACTTTGGGACGGATAAAAATGGAAAGGTGGACTTTTTTTTTGGGACGGAGGGAGTAAGTGTTTTCTGCTGACAGCCTAAAATACAATATATAGACTGTTACTGATGATAAATCATTATAATTTCATCAAAATCCACTAATATGAACCCATATTTATTATATTTTAGCCATTGATTAAAGCCATGGTGTGTAAGTCAAAAACTTTTATGACCGTGGTTTCCGATACTGTTTAGTAACTCCCGTTGCACCCTGCATCCATTACACCGCAACTGATTCCATGTTCATGATTTAAAACCTTGGTTGAAAGTGCTACTAGCATAGGAGGAAAGAGATAACGTGAGTGGAGGCACTGGAAACATTGATTGGCTGTTACTTAATGGAGGATATTGTCCTTGATTGAGTTGAATTAAGAAAAATGTAGCCAATTCCGTGTTTTTCTTTTTGGTGGTGCAATAAATTTGTTTAAGCAAATGAAATGGAGTATATGTGAGCTATATGAAAAGGAGAAGCAAAAACAAACATTGTTAGGCTTTTTGAGCCACTCCACCTAATGGACAAACCCCATAAGGAGAAACATTCAAATAGACCACTTTGTTAAGTCCAAATTAGTTGGTACTTTTGGGCTTCATTGAGCTGAGTTCATTTTATAAATTGTCAGTTTTTCCAAAGAGAGTGTTCAAGCAACATTGTCAAAATGCTGGAAGGGTAAGGTTTCTGATAACAGATGAAACTGTAAGTTCTTTTTGTCTTTTGAAAAAGACTTTATTCCATCATCTGCTAGATTCTAGTTCTTAAAGACTTCTGTAACACATTCTGTTTTAATTTGTGAGCAGACGCTTTAATAGCTCATACCTAAGGTTCAAACATAAGGGAGACGTTGTTGTGCTCTTGATTGTTATATTGTATTCTTGAATGTAATAATTTATCTAGGGGTGCACATGGTTCAGTTTGGTCCAGTTCTGGGCTAAATCAGAACCGAACCGATCCCAACGGTTCCTAAAATATTAGAACCAGAACTGGACTGTCGGAACTGTGGAATCAAAACCAACCAAACTTTAGAAGACCAGTTTGGTCTGGTTCCATCCACAGTTCTGGACATTTTTTTTTTCCTAATTGGTACTCACACACACGTCTCTTCTGAGACTTGAACCCCTGACTTTGGGAGGCAAGAGGCTGATACCGCTAGGCCACTGGCCCGTTGGTAGTTGTGGACAATTATTAATGGAAACCTATGTCAACATCACAACATGTGATTGCTTACCTATTTTCACTTCTTCTTCTTTTCTTCTTATTTATTTATTTATTTTTTTTCATATACTTTCTCTGCAAGCATGAGATTGAGACTCAAACTATGTAATGTAGTGGCAAAAGCTCTGCTGGGTGCATGTATTATAAATCTAAAAACAAACTTTATAGATGCGAAGAAATTATATAATTTAAGCAAAAAGCCACTACATTATATACACACACACACACACAATAAGTTAACGGTTCGGTATTAATGGACCCCAAACCAGAACCGAACCGTGAGTTAACGGTTCTCCATTTTTGGAATTCGGACTAGACCAAACAATAGCAGAACTGGACCAAACCGTACGGTCCAGTTTGGTTCACACCGGTTCCACCGTTTTTTTGTGCACCCCTAATTTTACCGGACTTCTGAGAAACAGTAGGATGGGAAAAAATCTTTCAAATTTTACAAGAGCTCAACTAAGCTGCAAAAGTTCAACTTAGTTGTGAGATCTCTATTGTAAATTTTGCAAGCTATGACAACATAAACATCAAGTTCCAAATATTTTCCTCAATTTTCTAATTAATACTTCATATGAATTAGTTTCAAGCAAGCAGCTCGTGCTTCTAAAATCATTGTCCATTTTCTTGTATTTACGGTTTACAATCTGCTTTTAAAGTTACAGTTTTCTTACATGATGGCAGAGTGAGGATATATAATTATCACAAAGGGAATGCTTTGGCAATATTGAAGTATCACCATGCCACGGTATGTTATAATTTATTATTTGTTTGCTCTGCACAAGGTTAAATTTCAAGATCCTCATATTAACTGCACTATTCTCTGTTTCCTTTCAACACTTGATAACATTTACAGTTAGCTGCGTATCATTTTATTTAATTCATTTACTGGATTTTCTGAACGTTGCTATTTCACAGAAACCATTCATTTTTTCTCTTTTTTATTCTTCATCATGAGAATATAATTTTTATGCCCTAGAAACATGATCTAATAAAACTGAAACTTTTGACTAATATTTCTAATAATTGAGTGAAAGTTTTGTTTAATTTCTGTTGTCCAAGTTGAGCTTATGTGGTAGATAAGCACTACTTTTACTGGGACCCTTCCATTCTTCAACAGCGCATTGTATATGACTTAAATTGTGTGACTGAAAAAGCGGTGACCTCTTTTATATGCAGTATAGAGAAGTGTGTTGCTTGTATTAGGACCCTTCCATTCTTCAACAGCGAATTATATATCACTTAATAGGACTTGGGTTGGCATATTTCGTACAAAAACGGAGTTTGTAATTTTAAATTTTAAGTGCTTCTGTTTAAAAGTTGGTTGAATGAGTTAGATGTTATCTCAATCTAGGTAGTTCAAGGAAACAAAAATGATACAGCAGTAAGAAGCTAATATTACTTCCCAAGTATTCACTCTCCAAATTAGGGAGTCATGTCATTTAGGTTACATTGCATACATGTTTTGATTTTCAAAGAGGTGTTTTGAATGCATTTTTTTTTTTATGAGTAATAATTGAAATAAAAGGCGTTCAAGAAGGGAACGCATCCCTTATACAAAAGTGGAACCGGGGTTTAAGGCCCCAAAGAAGCCAAAAAAATGATTAAATCTTCGGGAGAGGAACATGACTTCCTCTTCACATAACTGAAAAGAGAGCGTATGATGTGAAGTTTCAGAATCGCCGTGGACGTTCTTTCCCTTCGAACATTCTACTATTCCTCTTCTTCCAAATGCATCACCAGACACAATGTGGTACAATTCTCCAATAATCGTGAACAACACTACTCACACGGCATCCTCTCCAAATACAAATCAAATCCTTAGGATAATGAGGCATAACCAGCATACTAAACAGACAAAAGATAAGATTCCAACAATCCCTCGCCATAGGACAATGCATGAGAATATGAGCAACTGACTCACCATCTTTTTTGCAAAGGCAACACTAGTTAACAAGACAGTTGTCCCTTTTCCTTAGATTATCAATTGTTAGGATCTCACCCCATACAGCGGTCCAAACAAAGAATGCCACCCTAGTTGGAGCCATAGAGCGCCAAATAGTCTTCCACGGAAAATCAACGATATCAAAATCAGAAAGACATAAGAATAAGGATCGAACTTCAAAGTGACCATGGGAAGAGGGGATCCATGTAATGTCTCACAACCTCTGCCAACTGCCTCCTGTCGATGCAGCAAATCTAGAAAAACACATACCTCGTCCACCTCCCAATCCTGAAAAGAGCGTTGAAAGTGCACGTCCCACGTAATCCTACTACTATCAAGCCGATAACAGTTGGCTACGTAGGCATGTCTATCAACTGCAATACTGTATAATAAGAGAAATAAACAAGATAAAGGCTGGTCTCCACACCAACGATCCTCTCAAAAGCGTACACATCTGTCATCACGAATTTTGAATTTGATATGAGTAGAAAAAGCATCCCATCCATTCCGAATGAATTTCTATGCCCCAACTCCTCCCATGAGAGAGACCGGACGAGTAGACCAATCACCACTCTCTTCCCCATAACGGCATGAAACAAGCCTTCACCAAGGGCAATGTCTTTCCCTCCCGTACCTCCACAACCATTTTCCCAAAAGAGCTTGGTTAAAGGGGACCAATTTTTTGATACCAAGACCACCAAACTTCATTGGCTTGCAAACTTGTTCCCAATTGACAAGGTGATACTTAAATTCTTCCCCTCTTCCACCCCAAAGAAAATCTCTTTGAATTTTTTTAATCCTAGCAGCAACAGAGCATGGAATTTGGAACATAGATAAAAAATATGTGGGAAGGCTCGATAAAGTGCTCTTTATTACTTTTTCCATCCTGCTAATCTCTTCGCATACTTATCAATCACAGGGTCTCAACTCCCCACCGTTCTAGAGGAAACTCCTAAAGGCAAACCCAAATACGGAATTGGAAAAGAATTCACCCTGCACCCAAGGACTGCCGCTAAAGATGAGATATCATGAATATCTCCAACCAGAACAAGCACACTTTTAGCCACATTAACCTTCAGACCAGAGACGGCCTGAAAACAGGCCAAGATGCACCTCAAATATCTAAGTTGAGACACATCAGCATCATAGAAAACTAGGGTGTCATCCGCAAAAAATAAATGAGAGACCTCCATCTGATGGACAAGATCTCTTCCCACCATAAAGCCCTTAATAAGGTCAAGATCCTCTGCCCTTCGCATAAGTCTGCTTAATCCCTCCATAACAATAAGAAAAAGGAAAGATGACATGGGATATCCTTGTCTTAAATCCCGAGAATACCCAAAGAAACCAGCAGGAGACCCATTCACAAGAATAGATAACTTGACAGACGAGAGGCATGTCTCTATCTATTTCCTCCACTTACTTCCAAACCCCATTCTCTGAAGCAAATAAAGTAGGAAATTCCAATTCACATGATCATATGCTTTCTCAATGTCAAGTTTGCACAAGACTCCGGGAACACCACTTCTTAATCTAGAGTCCACACATTTGCCTGCAAGAAGAACTGAATCAAGAATTTTTCGTCCTCCAACAAAAGCATTCTGGGAATCCGACATAATCCAATCCATCACTCCCCTCATCCTAAGAGCAAGGACCTTAGCCATAAGTTTGTAGATACAACCCACTGAGCTGATAGGACAGAAGTCTTTAATGTTGGAAGCACCTCCCTTCTTAGGGATAAGGGCAATGAAAGTTGCATTTAGCGACTTCTCAAATGCGCCAGTAGAATAAAACTCCTGGAAAGTGCCCATCACATTGTTTTTCACAACCGCCCAACTTTCCATAAGAAACCGCATAGTGAACCCATCTGGCCCCGGAGCTTTAACTTGATAAAGCCTTTGGAACTTCTTTAGTAAAGGGAATCTCAAGCCCCTCCCTATCGATCTCAGAAATAGCCTAAAAAAGAAGACGCTCAAGTTTAGGTCTCCAAGCTAATGGCTCGGTATAAAGCTTCTGATAAAAAGAAGCAATCCCATTTCGCACATCTTCCTCACTCCACATCTCTACACCTTCCACCCGAATATGTCCTATATGATTACTTCTTTTATGAGCATTAGCGAGTCTGTGAAAAAATTTCGTATTACGATCTCCTTCTTTTAACCAATGAGCCTGGGATTTTTTTCGCCATGATATCTTCTCCATACTAACAATCTTAGCAAGAGCTACCTGACAAGAAGTTCTTATAGAACGCAAAAACTCCACATCCCCATCGGCCTCTTCTAGGCGATCAATCTCATACAAATCAGCAAGGACTCTATGCTTCCTCTATTCAAGATTCCCAAAAACATCTTTATTCCACTTCTTAAGATCGAATTTGAGAGCCTTCAACTTCGTAGTTAACATGAGCTAGATGAGCCTATAACAACAACTCCCTCCCACCAAGACTGAACTTTCCCTTGGAAGTCCTCCACTCTTAGCCACATATTCTCAAATCGAAATGGAGACCTTTGAGAACACAAACCTCCACAATCCAAAACCAGAGGAACATGATCGATGTGACCTGTGCTAAAACTGCTTGAACGACATCCGGGAATTTCTCTTCCCACTCCCCAGAAATCAAGAAACAATCCAGCCTTGAAAAAGTGACTGGGTCCCTGCCATTTGACCATGTATAGGCTGCGCCTTCCATTGGTAGATCAATGAGAAGATGTTCGTCAATGAAATCAAAAAACTGATCCATTTCAGAAGACCTCCTTCCTCCTGTGGACCTCTCTAATGGGAATCTAATAGAATTGAAATCCCCACCCAAACACTAAGAAAGAGACCACATTTCTTGAGCATGGTTTAGTTCCTCCCAGAAAAAAGGCCGATCAATATCAACAATTGGTCGACCCCAGTGAAAACCCATCTGAAATTGTCCTCTTCCAATTTGAATTTGCAAGACACTAAGAATCTCCCCACCCACACATCTAACCGAGACAACCATCTACAATCCCACATAACTAAGATACCGCCCGAAGTACCTTTAGCATTCAAGACTTCCCATTCCACAAACCTTCCACCCCACAAACTCCTTACCACCCCATCAGAAATGGATGCCAACTTTGTTTCTTGCAAACAAACTACTTGGGCGCCCCACTTCCTTAAAGCTACCTTTACCACCCTCCTTTTATTCGGATCGTTGAGACCATGAACATTCCAAGTAATAATTCATAGCTTCATTAAAAATCAGATAAGATGATCTCCCCTCCTCCCTTCGTCGAACTCCGACTCCTAGTCCTTCCCCTCTCCCTCACCATCCCTTTCTTCCCTTCATAATTGACTTCAGAGATAAGATTCTTGATCTCCTGTGCCCCTTTCCAGGACGATATAGGCCTCATGTTTGCTACCTCTTCAGTTACAGCTACCTCTCTTCCTTCCACTATTGCTTAAAGAATGGATAGTGTCTGATCACTGTTCCCCTTTGAAGTAACACTCAACAACTCACTAGCAGCTCCTATGTTTTCAATCATCCAGTCCTTACCCAAGTCAACATCTGTTTCTGAACAACCAGGTCTCTCAATTGCCAATGGTTCCTCCTCTATCACTTCAGAAAAATCATTTTCCAGCCAAGGGACAAACTCGTTGGAGCAGACTTGGATGGAAACCAGATCAGTAGCCACCTCCTCATCACAATCCCTTCCAAAATCAAATGACTTTGTAAACGAGTCAGAATCTGTATTGTAGTCTCCCATTCCACTTCTTAGGAAACTGACCAATTTATTCTCCTCAGCCCGTCCAGACGGCATGCAATTAAGGCCTTTCAAGGCTACATAAAGGCGGAGTTCTTTGAGCAGAGAACTAAAAATGAAGATCTCTCCCTAGACAGACCAAAACCCCATCTGATAAGTACTGAACTGCACAATTAAGTGGATCAGATTGCCCCGAAGTGACAAATCCGCTGGCAGTCTTCCTATCTGTAACCAGTCCATTCTCGTCTGCAGGTGCCGAAGGCACAACAGACAAAACACTGCTCTTCTCCGTTGACATCTCAACATCGCCCCTCACCGCCCCACAAGAAAGAGGAAGAAGAAGAAGGTGCTGTGAGGGAGCTCTGGGGATGAATAACAGAGGACATACCTGGGTCAATGGAGGTCCATTTCTGTTTATCTTTTCTCGACCATATATAATTGTTTCTGTGAGAATCCTGAGATGAAAGTCTAGAGCTGCTTCCCATTATGCGAGTAGTAGCTGGTAGGGACTTATTTGAAGCATCAGCGCAACACTGTAGATGACAAAAGACCTTCTTGTCGAATCCCACACCATCCTCGTCGGCACTAAATTTCATCCATCTCCTCTTCTCTGGCGAGTTCCAGAAATTTGCAGAGATAGCGTGATGAGGACGACCCTGTAGATGATCGATAATGGGTTCGGTAGCTGGACTGGGCTTTGTGTAAATAAAGGAAACTGAAATCTGATTTTTGGGCCCCCAGTGAACCTTTCTTTTTAAGTCATCTATTGGCTCATTACGTAACTTATTATTATTTCGTTTGGGCTTGGGCAACTGTGGGCTGGGCTTGTCATTGAGGAATGAAATGGATAACTTATTGCTAGGCCCCCCCATAACATTCCTTTTATTTGTGACTTGTGGCCCATGAATAGCAAACGGCCCACTGTTCAACCCAGAAGATACAAGCCCAAACTTACGCCCATCTGAATCCGCTGCATGAAAGGCTCTTGTGAAGCCACGTAATTGTCCACGTGGTTGATTGTCTTAAAGGCGATCGAAACGAGGATTTGAATGGCGTTGATGATGGGCGTTATGCGCACGCCTCGGAGGTCTGACTTCCCCACTCGCAGCCGGCACGTTAGCAAACGCTCTTCTCTTTCCTTGAGTACTCAGTTGAGTCTGCAAATGCTGGCATCGTCCACCGTTGAACTCTCCATCAGACATAAGGAGGGAAGCCTCACTAACCATATAATAGGATTTTGGAAGGATGCAAGGTGAGGTTTCCTCAATCAAATTAATCTTAATGGCCACTCGTTGGTCTTCTACAAAAACATACTCCGGCATCACAGCTCCAGCAGAGACATATAGGAGAACTCGCTCGCCACTCGCTTGATCATCCGCTTCCACATCTCTGAACCCACCGCAGAGGTCTCCAATGGCTTCGAACAATTTTTGGCACCAGAGATGAAGGGGCAACCCAAACAACACCACCCTTCGTAACCTATCACGATCAACCACGGCTGAGCAAACCACCGCCAAGTACCACTTTTCGATGTATAAGGAAGCTTCACCCCATCTCTTCCTCCCCACATCCAAGACCCTGCATGCTTCGGCCTCCGATGGTAGACGGAACAGGAAAAGGCCGTCATGTAGGGTTGAAACTTTAACTCCACACGAAATCTTGGCAGATTTCGTCGCCCACTCCTCAATCCCTTTAGTACACCCCACATCACGATCAAAACGACCAACCAAGCAAGATTTCAAGACGGATTCACTTAGGTTTTTTGCCATATGCTATAACACATATTATCATCCTATTTAGTTCACTTAGTTTTGTGTGGCTAGCTGCCTAGGTGATTGTTAAATCCAAATCCGAACCTCAAACTGGTGTACCACTCCCTTAAATTATTTTCTTTGGAAATTTGATGGAGCGGATGGAGGCCCAAGGAAACTTTAGCCAGGAACCTACTGGTTACATTGTATATATATATTTTTTTCAAAAAGAAAAAAATTGGAGAAGGCAAATAAAATAGAAAAGGCTAGTATCATAGTACCAAGTGAAGAATTTTTATCTGCATCTTGCATTTTTATAATTATTTAATTTTTTTCATATAATATTTGTATACCCTCCCCCCCTCTCTCTCCTCTCTCGTCTGGATGCTTTGCAGTAACGAATATATATATATATTGAAAAAACCTTCCTTTTGTTGAAAATTTAAAGCATAGTCAAATATACTTTTGCAGTGCAATGCTGTTTCCTTCTCAACTGATTGTAAATTAATGGCCTCTTCATCTGAAGACACGACTGTGGCACTGTGGGAACTTTATCCCCCTTCAACAGTAAGCTAAATGGTATCAACTGTAACACACACATCTGCGGATTCAGGTGGTTCCAACATTGTCACACACATCTGCGGATTCAGATTAACACTGTTAAGTTTTTTGATGTACTAATTTATACAGAACGTGAAATGAGTGTTGGGTTTTTCAGAATATGTAAATATTAGTGTGATTTGGTGATCGTTCCAGAGTTCCATAGTCGCATCATATTTGCTTTGTGGGGATGTCATTGTAAATATTAAATTTTATTCCATAAATTGCTATAGAAGAGCGAAGGAAGTGATTTCTCATTGATGGAAATCCTAGCAATAGAATTGTTCCAATGCTCCCTTAATATAAAAGAATTAACTTTCTCTAGAGTACCATATATTGTTTATATAATTTAGTACGTAGTAATGTTTATTCTACGATGAACTGCATTTGACCTCCTGTGTAGTTTGTCTAAAATATACTGCTTTTGCAATGTCAGTTGTGTAAGAAATCACACTGACTGCCCTGTCGAATTTGTTAAGACTATTATATACTGACTTAAATGCTTACCCTCATTTTCTGAAGCTTTTTATTATTATTGTTATTATTTTGTAATTTGTAAAAGTCAGCCATTGTAATGGATACGACATAAAACTACTCTTTCTTTACAACCCGAAAACAGCAACCATTTTCTTGCTCAACCAAACTCCCAACTGTTTCTCAGGCTGTCACTAAACACTTCAAGTCTTCAACCGAACCATCACCACCATAATTGCTTCTTCCCCACCATCTTTGTAATGTCAACGTCATCATTATAATTGACTCACGCCGCCTCGTTGCAATGAACCAACATTAAATTTTGAAACTAGGGTTGGCAATTTCCTCTCCCTGATAGGAAATTTTTTTTTAAAGACATTTGTTACTTTTTTTTTTTTTTTTAATTGGTCATCACACACATGCGTCCACTAAGGCTTGAACCCCTGACTTTCCTTTGGGAAGTAAAGATCTAATATCGCTAAGACCACTGGTCCGTTGATAGTCATTTGTTACTTTGTTACTTTGCTAGAGTGTCAGTTAATATATTATATTCATTATTTAGTAATTTAAAAGTTGGGTTAACTTATTTATCAGTTCAATTTGATATGTCTTTTTATAACAGAGTTTTTATAAAATAGTTTTCAAAAAATTGAACCAAACAGAGTTTTTTTTGTACAGTTTTCAATATTATCAGAATTACAAACCAAACAGAGCCCTAGTTTAGTAGTGAAAAGCTCCAATTCTTGATATTTAGTTCCAAAAAAATTGAATTAGACATTTCCAGAAGGTCAAATTATGGAGCTCTAGTGGTGGAAACTTGTTATTTGGATAAAATTGTAGCAACTATCTTTGGTATATTCACTGTATGTTTGGTATTTAAATAACTAAAGCTTGAATATTGTACTATTTTTGAGTTAGTACAAGATGTTCTTCTAGCTTTTCCAAGTGTAAAGGATAAATATTTGTCCTCAACAAAGTCCATTGAAAGGAGGATACTTCTTCCTGCAAGTTTTGGCCGATGCTTGATTTTTCCTTGAAAGAAGAATTCTTTTTCTTTTTTGGAATTCATTGGCTTTTTGTCTATGGATTGTTCCATTACTAATAATTGTAATGTGCCTGGTGCAAATATGGTACAAATATGGTTCCATTAACTCGGCACAAATATGGTAGCCGTCCATGTGAGCGCATGTGTACAACTAGAATGATTATGATGTGCGGTGCACCTCCCCTCCTTCCCTTTGTTATGACCCTATTGGTTAATTTGTTGGTGGATTTTACTAGACCCGGTGATGCAATGTGGTTCATATGGTGGTCCCCCCGCTAAAATATACAATGTGCCTGGTGCACCCGTTACAAATATCGTTGTTGTCCATGTGAGCGCATGTGTACAACACGAACGGTTACGACATTCGGTGCACCTCCCCTTCTTCCCCTTGTTATGACCCTATTGGTTAATTTGTTGGTGGATTTTACTAGACCTGGTGATGCAATGTGGTTCATACGGTGGTCCCCTCGCTAAAATATACAATGTGTCTAGTGAGGCACAAATATGGTAGCCGTCCATGTGAGCGCATGTGTACAACATGAACGGTTACGATGTGCGGTGCACCTCCCCTCCTTCCCCTTGTTATGACCCCATTTTGGTTAATTTGTTGGTGGATTTTACTCGAACTGGAGATGCAATGTGGTTCATATGGTGGTGTTGACGGTTTTGAGTTTTATACAAAAGTTTCAGTGGTATTGTTACAGTGGATTAGTTATACTCGGTGTTTTTTGTTGGTTAGGTGAATGGGATGGTTATGGGTGGGTTTGAGGGTTCTGTCAGTGGTTGGTTATAAATGAGGATGGAAGTTGTGGTGCATGATCTCAGCTGGTGAGAAGATCACGCAGTTGCTGGAATTAGTGAAGAGGCCTGGACGGATTTTAGTGACATTGGTGTTTAATTATGAGAGAGCTGGTGGGGATTGCCAGATAGCAGAGCAATCTGGAGGGCAGAGATAGTGATGGTTAGGGTTCTAATTTGTAAGGGATGGTGGCAATTAATTGTACTGTGATGGACCGAGGAGGAGGGAAAGTGGTGATTACGGTAGACGGTTGGGTAAGAACTAAGATGATGGGTGTTTACACCATCACAATCGGCCATTTTCAATGGAAAAGTTGTTGTGGCCGATTCCTATGGAAGGGTGGCTGTTTCCAATAGAAGGGTAATATGCAGATACTGATGCAATCATAAAGCGACGCGTGGCTTCATCAGAGGAGATTATTTGGTAAAAGTGATTGCTAAATGGGACACATGGTAAGCAAATAAGCAAGCAGTTAAATGTCTATCGAATGAGACACGTGGCAGCCAAGGAAGGAAGCAGTTGTTGTGGTCCATTCCACTTAGCGGTTCCGAACGTGGCTAGAAGTCTTCAATTGGTTTTGAACTGCCAAACCCATTCCTCCAAAGTTGCAATTCATGGAAGAGCATGTCTTTACACATGTCAACATTATGAGAAGACTAAGGAAGATATGGGACACTTAGCACAAATCGAATGTTCTACCTGGAAGCATCTTTGTTGCTGCTAGAATAGTTTACAACAACGAACATTAGAGAAACTCTATAAATAGAGTACTTGTTTGTAACTTAAAAGACCTATTCAACACATCAAACAACAACGCTTTTAATTATCTTTCAATTTCAATTGCCTTTACATTCCTGCAATGTATTTTCATCATGTTTAATTAAGTTCAACACTTTCTTTCTAGAAATTACTTTTCAGTTGCTTTACTTTCAAGTCTTGCACTTCAATTTATTTCTATTCTAGTCACAAAATTATCCTCAAGTCCTTTCCTCTAAAAGAAAAAAAGAACCTTGGAGGTGGTCATTCCAGACTTCTTCGCGATCCTTTTAATTTTCCAACTGAAATATTGTTTGGAGCTTTCACTTAGAGCAACTCCAATGGGTTGCTAATCTCAAAATATAGCAGGTGGGTTTAACATGGGCTCTCCAATGGGTTGTTAAATGGGCTACCAAATATAACACAAAATATAGCAACTGCTATTGCTTTATTCCTTCTCTCTTCTCTCTCGCATCCTCTCATCTTTTTGCCATAAAAACCGAAAACCACCTCACCTCATCTCTTCCTCTCTGCTCTCAAGCTGAAGCCCCACAGAGCTCGTCAATTTTCTAAGAGGATCATTGTCTTCCTCGCTCTCGGTCTCTAATCTCCGGCCGATTCTTAGGGCGCAGCTGTTCAGGAATCCATTTCTCTCGGATTTTCCTCTCTATCTCTCGGATCTTCACTAGGGTAAGCCTTTCTCTTCCCTCGTGTATATATGTGGAGGGTTTGGATTCTTAAAAATATGAAATTGGGAGTTTGGGTTTTTAGGTTGATATATATATATATATATATATATATATATATATATATATATATATATATTTCTTATGCTATGTTGCAATATTTTAAGGACAGTTTTGAAATATACATCTTTTGATGAGGACAGTTTTGATATTTTGGGGAATTTTTGAAACACCAGTGACTATGAAGCCTGTGTTGACATATATAAGCTATGTGTTTTGAAATTTTGATAAGCTGTGTCTATGATTGTTGATATATGTGGCTTGGATTTTGAAATTTTTTTATGAGACTAGGACCATGCTTGCACACACACACACACACACACACACATATATATATATATATTGTGTTCGAATTTTTGAAAGGTTGTGACAGTATATACATGTGTGGGTGATATTTTGAGAAATTTCGATAGGAACGTGACTGTTTTGATATATCTGTGGTTTGCAATTTTTGTGTGTTGAATTTCTGATGGGACTTTATTTTCTAAAAATGAATTTGGGATTGTTGTGGTTGAGTTGGGAATGGTAGTTGAAAAAAAATGGTGGTTGTATCAAAAAATAGCATTTTGGATGAAATGCACCATTGGAGTAGAATTGCTAAAGTATAGCATTTTGACACTGTAGCACCATTCAAAATATAGCTTTGGCATGGAAAAATAGCATTTTGCATTGGAGATGTCTTACAAGTTTCTTTTGTGGGTCCTGGCATGCTGCTAGTTCCATTGGAATTGAGCAATTTTAGTATTTACAGAATGATATGTGAGTGTAGTAATTATGGGACTATTCGCGTGAAATTTAGCTCACACAGCTGATTGATATTGCGGGCATGCTAGAGTCTTTAGATTACTCAAATGATTGAACATTAACTATCCTTTTTAATTGATGGCTGATTGCAAGCGATCGTGTGGGAGAGAGAATACATAGCAAGGTTCTTTTCTTACCTTATTTGCATGGACTTTTGAGGTATTAAAAAGAAAATAAAAGAATTTAAATGAAGCGGCTGAATTGAAGTTGCAGGAAAGAAAAGTGCAAAGAAACTAAATTGGAGAAAATTAAATGACTAGAAAATTTTTTTCCCTAAATAAATGACTAGAATTTAAATAATGTAGAAAAGAATTGATATTGAATTTAAATTGCTAGAAAAGGAGTTTGGAAAGGAAAGAATATTACTGAAATTAAAGTATAAAAAATAGAAAGTGTCATTTGAATGAAAAAGTTCAAGAAAGGAAATTTCCATTGGAATTAAAATACTTGAAAAGAAATTGACATGAGTAGAAAGATAAATGACGTAGAGTCAATTGAATTGCATGTTTTTGGTGTGGTGCTAGACAGTTTGAAAAGATTATAGACTTTCCTATTTATAGCTTATTTTCATAACTTTTTGCTAGAAAATCTTTCCTGCCTTGATTCCCTTATCTTTGGATTTGAATGGAGTTAACAATTTCTAGCAAAATATACTCCTTGGGTGACACACAATCCTCCTTATCTTTGAATTCCTCTTATCTTGGG